AGAAAAGAAAGAAAATCCTAGGTGTGAAGATGAAGGAAAGAGATCCACTGCTGGACCTCCTTATGGCACCTGGTATTTTTGGCCACTGTGTGACAGAGTGTTAGACTAGATGGGCCATTGTCCTGATTCAGCATTGGCTTCTCTTATGTTGTTATGTTCTTCAGAGAAGGAAGAAGGGTGCCAAACTGTTCAGGCTGGAAAGCAGCACATACAACCTCCTTTGGGTGTTTTTTAAAGACTTTTGATGATGATCCAGGGCAGCGGTAATCAAACATGTGTGATCAGCTGTTGCCTGCCTGCCCTGCCAAATGCTGCCATCCCGCAAAGGCAAGACGGTTCATGGGCAAATCCTCAAGGTAATCAAGATATGCTCGACTCAACAAAAGGGGCATTTCAAGAAAGGTACAGTGAAGCGACAATTGCAAGTTTTTGCAAAGATCTTTGTTTTCCTGTTTGCCCATACCACCATGCTGAATGGACAGTCCATCCCAACTGGTGGTATTTGTTCTGCCTCCATTTGCACAAGGGACGGACAGAAATCCTATTGGGTGTGGTGAGGATTGTTCTGGTATACTCCCCTCCAATCCAAGACTGCTTTCTTCACTTTCCCAGACAAAAGGTTTGGACAATATGTAGCTCCAATTAATGGTTTCAGAAGGGTATGTGCTAGAATTCCTTAGGATAGTAAGAGGGAAGTTTATAGCTTCCCCCGGGATTCAGAAGGAAAAGAAACGTTAGAGGACCCTGGCAGCTCTTCTGCATCCCCTGGACCAAGAAGCAATAAAACCCGTTTCCCAGTCCCAGGTGTCATTTGGCTGGCTCTTTGCTGTCTTGAAGAGTGAAAGATACTAGAATTCTGCTGGTATTCTCAAGGGGTTAAATTGCCTCACCTAAAAGAAGAAATTCTTTATTCAGTAATCACAAGTGATTGGCAGCAGGGATTTCTTGTCCTCTTGTTAACCTCACTGTGTTCTGCTTACCTGTTCCTCTTAACATTTATTGCTGATTCCCGAGACTCCCATTTCCACTACAGAGTCTCACCCTTCAATCTCTGCTTTTCCAGATGGCAGTCTTTGACCTCTGCTAGTGGTTGTCCTGCCATTCCTGAATACCTGGTTCCATTAACCATCCCAGTTGCAAAATTACAGGAAAGAGATGACCACCTTTGCCAGCCCAAATTTATGTTGGAACCAGGAAGAAGACTTTCCTTCTACTCTTGTAAGTTTGTTGAGCAACTGGGAATTGTCATAGACATCCACAGAACTCAAGGGAAACAAGATAACTGTCCTGAGTGATCTGCAAAAGATGGTGATAACCCTTGTCTAGCTTGTCTATATGGAATAATGGTGTCCTATTTAGTTTTGGTAAATT